CATATCCTTGAGTTAAAACAAAGGCTCGAACATGAGCAAGGAGTTCATCATAACTTGAAAATTGGTCAATTGGAGGTAGAAGCATATTACAAATTTTTATTGAAACAAAATGCAAAGTACAAAAATACAAAATTGATTTCTTCAAGTTTTTAAATGAATCAAATAGTCAAGCCATTTGCTGTGCGATTTATTTGGTCAAGCTGTTTACTAATTGATTTATTTGGTCAAGCCATTTGCTAAACAATTTATTTGGTCAAGCCATTTATTAAGTGATTTATTTGATCAAGCCATTTGCTAAATGATTTATTTGGTCAAGCCATTTATTAAGTGCTTTATTTGATCAAGCCATTTGCTAAACAATTTATTTGGTCAAGCTGTTTACTAAACAATTTATTTGATCAAGCTGTTTGCTAAACAATTTATTTGGTCAAGCCGTTTTCTAAACAATTTATTTGGTCAAGCCATTCATTGGTCACATTACTACACTTAGTCACGTGGGGTGCAATTAACAATTCCCTATTATTATTATTATTATTATTTATTTTTATTATTAAAAATGATCTACATTTCACCCAATAAAAAATCCTTACATATAATTTTTTATATGTGTGGTCAACTATGTTTGTGTTTATACTGATGTGTAACACCCCAATTAGATGACCACTTAATGATTTTATTAAATGGTCCAAAAATTGAAGATTTTGATTTGATAATATATTACGATCTTGATCTTTAATCCCTAAACCTAGTAAAGTTGATAAAAATATTAAAGACAATAATATGATAATAATAAAAATGTTTATAATGACAACTAACCAGTATGAGGAAAATTGAATATTATTCTATCGAATCTTTTATTCTTTAAATCTTTGTATTTTTGCAGTTTAGTTCCATCAATATTAAATAAAACTTGGCCACCAAAAAATTTTATCGAGTCTATATGTTCTTTTGAATCTTTATATTTTTCATAAACAATTTGTTCACTGTCATATGAGGTTGCTATGATTGAATGCGCGGCAGGTAATACGTTTTCTATTAGTGAATGAGCAAAACTAAAATTACCTGAGATGTTTTAATAAAATAAAATTTTTTTGGAGGTGAAAATCAAACAATTCATATTAGAAAGAAAAATAAATAAAATAAGTAAAAAGTACCTTCTCCTATCAATAAAATTTTATGTTCAGGTTTATATAAAAATGAAGGTTGGGAAATTGAATTATTAATAATATGAGTTTGAGTTGCTTTTGGTTTTAGGTGTGGTAGATGTAACCTAGATCTATTATTTTTTAATTGTTCATCTTTTTGAAGTTTTTTAAAGGAGTTTTTCAATTTAGGTTTTACTTTAGGCATTGCTTTTTTTCAAACCTTTTTAGATGTGAAATTTCCCCATTACATTTAATTAGTGATCCACCAGTTAATAGGGATGGGAACGGTTCGGTTCGGTTTATAAACCGTCAGTTTGGCTAGTGAACCGCACCGACCGGCAGTTTACCACCGCGGTTCAAACTCAAGTTTAACCGCAGTTTTATAATTTTATTGGTGATCTATTTTTATAAAAATGAAAATTTTTTTTTTAAAAAACAAATTATTTGTTCCAACAATTAAACACCACTACTATCTATTCTCTTCATATTTGCTTGTACTTTAAATTGTTTGCATCAATAACTGGAGTTCCGCCTGATCTCTATATCAAGTTGTAGCACCATAATTCAATTAATTGTGATTGAAATATCTGTTATCGTAATTTTCTTTTATGAACAATAAATAGTTAAATTTTATTATCAGGTCCAATTCAAAGTTTAGGATCAAGGCATCAGTTATTAAGATTTTTAAATAAACTAATATGTAATTTGAATAAAATTAATAATTGAATAAGCTAATAAATCAAATAAAATTAAATCAAATAAAATTAATAAAATGAACGATTTGAATAAAATTGGTAAATCCAATTCA